GGGTTTCGCACGAGGAGCCGTGCACTCGAACTAGATTTACAGTCCACAGCATGGCCTGTCGTTTCTTCTGCCGGCGGGGTATGCCGCTACTTGAATGGTGCTTGAGACGATTTCAATATGTTGCTTTGCTTGGCCAGCTCTGCTCTGTCGCCAGCACACTTTGTTGACCGTCAACTTTGCAGACACAGAGCGGCATCTTGTGCTCCAGCTTTATCAATGCTGGTGGTTTGAGCAGCGAGCAAGTGCACCAAACACGAAGGCCGAACCCAAACAAGCTGCACATTGCAGTTTCGCGGCTTTGTGCGAGGGCACTGTCGTTGCCGGCATGTGTGCTTCCTGCACACCATGTTCGAGTCCAGGAAAAGGAAGCTGCTGCAAGCCGTCCATGGCCTTGTGTATTGGACAGTCGTATGTGGATCTGAACTCCAAGCTCTGGCCGGCAAACCAGGCTTGAGACCGAAGCTTTTCTTAATGCTAAGGCGACATGTGCATCCTGGACGGAGCCCGACGCAAAGCACCCCCAAACACCTCCAACTCATAACATACTTTGTGGGAAAGCTCGGAAAAATCAAACTCCAATATCTGTTATTCCACCACGAGGCCAATCTCGCGGGTACCTCGGGCTCTTCGTGTTGCGCTTCTTCGGCAAAAGGCCACTGCGGTGTCTCCGGGCGTGCATCCTGTGGTGGGGTCTAGGGCAGCATCAGACCGATTAATTGCTTCTCTGGGCACAGGAAACTTTGCTGTAAGCCTGAGTTGCTAGGACTTTCGAGCGAGTCATATTTCCAGCTTTTGTTAACTTTTTTCGAGTTTTGCCCTATTTTCAAGAGCTTTTGCTAGCATCTTCTAGTATTTTTAGATTCTCCTAGCTTTCTGTAGCTTTCATAGCAAACTGGAAATTGAGATCGGGAGGCCCCAACACTCCCATGGCGAGTGGAAGAAGTGCTTCGCGTTGTGCAAAGTGGAGATGTGCACTAGGAGATATTGAGCCAAGAATGATCGATGGAATTCTTCAGTTTTTCATAGATATCACGGTTTTCACAACTTTTCATAGCTTCCGCTAATTAACTTCTTTCCAGCTTTACTTGCCTTCGTGGGACTTTCGGATGTTTCTGGATCTGTTCCTCAGCTCGCAAAGAAGAACCTTGTTCGTCTGGTACCTGACTCATGTGTTGGCTTGAGAATCAAGTCGAATCTGGAAGCAGTAGAAGCGTCTGGCGTCCATTTTCCAAATGCAACCTATGGTTTCCCCTGACGACCCCCAATGCCCACCAACTCCCTGAGATGGTCGATTGTCTCATCCAGCATACCATCCATAAGCAGAGCAGTTACCATCTGGGGCATGGTCCTTTCTACAACACAAGCAGGGAAGCTAAGAAGGCCTCCAACTCTTCCCGGATGTGAGCCGTGTCAGATTGATCCTGCGAAGCCCGTGCTTCGGATAACAGCTGTGGACGATTCGAGAGGCTGCTGACACGTGGTGGCACGGACGGCGACAAGGCTTTAGCATTTGCAGGGCTGTGTTACATCCTGATGCGACGGTTCTGCTTCAGGACTTCGGCATCAAGGAACGTCCATCCTCGACTGCTTCCACGTTCGTGCAGGGCGTCCGTGGCGCACCCTCTGTGTGTGGTTCCTGCAGGGACGAACTCCTTATGCTCAGCCACCGAATGCTGTTTTGCTTGGATAATCGACATGGCTGCCACATGCAGATTCCGTCCTTGGGCGGCTTCGACTGCAAAGCTGCAGCGTGGCTAGGTGGGAGGTAATAGATAGCAGTCCTCCTGAAGGCTTGAACTATCGGCTGCCGTCAGACGCCATTCTAACGGATTTATGATGTAACATGGAGCCACGAGGTGTGGCTTTGTTAATATTGCCGGTATACAAACAGTCCAACGCTATGATCGGTCCATTAACTGCAAATGCCTCCTACGAAACCTGCGCTGCCGAAAGCTTCGATCTGTTTGGATGAACGGAGACTTAATTAGTGGAGCTCCCAGAAGGCGCGCGCAAGCACACGGGCACCAGCCCAGGTGCTGGGGATGTCGGCGGAAGAGCCGCCATGGCACCAAGGAGGTGACGGTCTCTAACTCGGTGACACCAGATTTGTTTGTTGAACTTGCGACACTTGAAGGGTTCTCAGTGCGCGTGTGTTCCGGTGCGTGCGTGCAGAAACCACGTAGCGGTTCGGCTGCTTTTATATAGCGGGTCTCAGGACCACTGGGAGAGTTGCCATCCTCAGCTTGCGTTGCTATGACGGGTGTCCATTTCAGGACTTTCGGCCTCACAGCTTCGATGCTCACGGCCGTGCGAGCAATGCAGTCGAGTGCTTTGTTCGTACAGCCGGTGCATTCAACCAAACCGTGCTTCTTGACATTTGCGGAGTGAGGAAACCACTCCAGGCCACGGGACGGTCTCGTTGGCAGCTGAAACCTTAGGTGCAATGAAAGTAAATGTCGGTTCGGCTGTCTGCCACAACGATACTCGTCGTTCGTCGAAGTGGCCATTCTTCCATCATCCGGCGTGCCTAGGAGCGAACCGGGGAGCTGCAGATGGCGTCTCTGTCATCTGGTTCCAACTTTAAAGCTGCCACGAACGCACCTCGGCTCCGGACGACAGGCGTGTTCCGAACCACCATGAAATGGTCGGAGATGTTGATGTTGACACGCCTGTTGTCTCTTTGCCCGCAGTTTGCACGTAATAACTTCGAGTCTTCGAGAGGTTTAGCTGGACTCCGTTTTGCTGAGTGACGTGCGGGACAAACTCACCCTCTTTTGCAGCCTCCCCTGGCGGATGATGGCAGGTGGGTGGCTATGCATCTCAAGCATATTAAGCCTCCTCTTCTTTTGCAAGTTCAGTTGAGCTCTGCGCGTGAAAGTGCCGAGGCGAAGAAGAACAATCGCTCAGGAGCCTCGCCTCAAGCACATGCGAGGCCCGTTGCATCACGTCCATTCACGTCCTACATGGCATGAAGCTCAAGTCAACAGTTGATTCCAGTGCAATCGATATTCGTGTAGCACATTTCGGAAGGAGTAAGAAGAGTATGCCCTCATGCCATAAGGTGAAGCAGCTCATGAGCCTAGCCTAATTAGCTGAGCATATTTAGGGATCCCTGCAATTGCACGGACGGCCGGAGCCCCCATGACATTGCAATGCCAATGCTTGAGGCAACAGCATTTTTCTGCTGCGAGATAGGGCAGACAAATAGGAAACTCCGCGTGCATGATCTCGTCGGTATTGAGTTGGCAGGACTGTGCAAGAATGGGCTGGCGACCGGATGGTGTTTGCGTGTGACATGACGCCATGTTGGCCAACCCATATAGATATGGTTGACATACTGGACCTGACTCGTCCCAAGATTTTAGCAGCCCTTGTATTGCAAAAAGGCTGTCTTTGTTCCGATTCTAGCAGCTCCACTTCTGCACTCTGCTGGCGGTGTCAACCCGGGTGAGACAAGTCAGTTCGCAGCTATTTCCAATGGCACGAGGCACTTCCTGTTGGTCACTCTCCATGGGCCAGCTCGCCGGATCCGTAGCCCAGCTTCCCGATGCTGTGCATTCACGCCTAGCAAGAAGCATGTTATGCAGCATCGAATCTGACTTCCTAAGAGCATTAGCGCACCCCTACAGCCGACCTGTAAACCACAACTAGCGGATCAGGTAAACCGTGACGGTTGCTGTGCGCGTCTTGACCCGTCGAGCCGGCAGTCGGATCGCTGCGCAGAGCGTGATACAGCATGATATCAGGAGTCTACCGGTCTGCTCACTGACCGAGACAGTCAGGAAGTCGAAATTGAATCTGCTTATCGGAACCATGAACACAAGCCGAAGCCTCCTCATGATTCGCTGCCTTTCGATCGCCGCAGCTCTGTGGCCTGTCCAAATCAGGAAACCTCGACCACTAGCATTCAGAACATGACTGAACCAGATCGCGGCGGAAGTTCGCTTACCACTCGTTACCTCTTGGAAGATATGGGCTGAAACATGATGTGTAAAGTGTAAAAGATCAATGGGACGCAGGTCCTGATTTGGCCTTCTTTCTTCTTCTGTTGAAAAGGGATGAAAAGGGTGATGGACATGGATGAACTGCATCAGTTGGGAGAGATTGGTTGCATTCTGCCACACTCTCACGCAAACCCGCGACTGGTGTGTGCGTGCAGTCACACCAGGAACCCCAAACGAAACCTCCACTCCCTCCCGCCCGAATGTTGACATCATCGACTTCCGTCTCGGCTCTTTGGGCACAGGCGTCGTATATAAGTTATATAGGGTGTATGGAACCCCGGCAACAACAAATGATCTCCGAAGGTCTGAGCTCGGGATCCCTCTGTCAATTCAGGGCGTCACCTGGGGGGCCCTAGGTTCGCGACTGGTTTGGGAGGGATGCCTTGGTTCTGAGTTGGGTAAGCCAAGTCTTCTATGGGTGAACCTTCGCATCCCAAGCACCATGTCAGCGGATCCCAAAAAGCCTGCGGCTGGCCGCGGTAATTCGGGTACACGCTGAAGCTGACCAAGTCCTAAGTAAGTCAATGACAACTTCTCTGAATAAGCAGGCACATCACAAAACTCACGCTCCAAAGAAAACAAACATAAAGAGGCCTTCGGCACTCAAAAGTGTGCGCAGTGGCAGACGACAAGACATGCACGGCTTTGTGGCGAGCACTACTTCGACTGGCCGCAACCCCTGCATCAACGAAAGAAGCTTGCCTTGTCAAACTAGTTGCAATCATTTAACTCGCGGAATCAGAAAGAATTGAACCAAGATTAGCAGCGGAGCGCAAAACTGGTCCAACCACGCTTCCCGGAAGAGGCGATGCTTTAAAGTTTAAATATGCAGGTACAATCTCCTCTGGCACGAATGCGCTCTAGACACATGTTCTTCCTACATGGCCACAGCCGTCCACAGTGGTCCAGATCTCGTGCAAGAAAGCCAGCACCCACACGAGACCATTGCCAGAGTAACTAGTAACTCTCAAATGTTTTGGATCTTCTCTATGTGGTTCAAGGGTCTCCTCTCCTGAAGTGGCGCTTCTGATTCTGGTGCAAGAAGACATCCAGATCCTTGAATCTTTTCTTCAACTCTTCATTCCTCGGTCCATATCGGGCTCCCGCCGGTTTGTGTGCATAGCGACACTAATGTGCCGAGGAACGAGATGAAGCCGTAGCCTTTGTCTTCAAACCTGAGTGGGCTCAGCGCTTTCTCGAGCCGAGTCTGCGACAGGAATTGCGCGTCATATCCACTCTTCCATCTAGCTGCCACATCTTGATGCGGCCTTCCCATCGTCGGTCGGTCACACCTGCCAGCTTACCAAAAGTTGCAAACGATAGGCGAGGCGTAGGCGAGGTCTCCTTCACCCCCCCAAGCCCCGAATGACATCGCTTCCGCTTCCCCAGCCTGGCATTGGCTCAACATCAGGAGGTCGATAGTTTGGATGGTTGATATTTGATGAAGGACCGGGTGGCACCTCAGCAAAGGGCTGCTGACATATGCCTGGAGAGCAGCATCTGCCACTGCTGCTGCAATCCACTTGGACTGAGCACGGCATGATCTCGGACGCATGCACAACATAATAAAGGCTGTCACATGTGCGCCGAGGGTCGTCGTCATCCTCGTCAAGCTTGTTAAGCTTGTTAGCTACCAGAGCAGGATCCGGCAAGGATGAGGGGCTCGCGGTAGCCAGTAGTGTTCCATCGGTGGGTGTGGGAGGCATCATTTGGCCCATCATGGGATTCATGATGGCTCCCATCATCATCATGTGGTTAAGCATGCCCATCTGATGCATCATATACTGCTGCTGCTGCTGCTGCTGCTGCATGATCCCAAGCATTCCGGGGTTGGAGCCCAGCGAAGCACCACAGCCGCATCCATTGCAAGGCATGCCCATGCTTGCCATATTTGGAGGTATGTGCGAAGCTGGAGCCGCCACTTTCATGCAGCCATTGCCAGGTATGGAAGGCGGACTGGAGCCTTCAGCCGGCGCGGTTGGAGCCGCTCCCAGAACTGCGTCTGTGCCAGGTTGCCCCTGCTCAGGTGGCTCCCCCTGTTCGGTCCTCAGGCGCTTTCGTGGCTGTGTCTCCTGCTCCACCATAGCCCGGCTGCGTTGGGCCTTCCCTTGGCAGGCTCATGCACGCAACGATACATGGAATCAAAGGAGCATGAAGGTGGAGGTGGCTTGAGCCGTGCAGAGTGCGTGACGAGGCAAAGCAGTGGAACTTCTTAGAGATTTCACATTGCGTGAATATGCGTGAATGGCCAGTCGCACAGGCATTCGACCTACGTGTTTGCATATCCTGCCAAGTGCCTAGAAGTTCTACATGTAGCATGTCTCGCGACTTTTGATGCATCTACTCTGCACGCACAGCCATCTACACCGAAAGTCTGCCAAGCACAGGCTTGGATAAAACGGCTCAGCTTCGAAGAGTTCTCGAGTGTCTGGACAAGTCGAGAACTGCGGCGGCTCCGATGAGTGAGCACTTGATGGTTACAGCAGCCAGCATGCTCCGAAACTCACGAGCTCGAACTCGCCTTTGGTCGGGCCCAGGATCCAGAGTTCTTCTTACAAAAGCTGACGATCGAGACCATGATGCCGTTGCATGGAGCATCACGCATAAATCGGGCAACCAACCAGCGCAATCGAAGAGCCTGTCTGCCAAGAAGGAGCAACATTGCCAGCATAATGCAATGTAGCAAGCATGAACAACTCTATAAACAGCATCTATGCCTGACACCGCTCACATTAAGGATGCAGGCCATCACTTCCGATGCTCTTTCCCTGCACAGAGCCTGGGGCACCCCAGCCACGTGCAAAGACAGCTGGATCGTTGAACCGCCGGTTGCGCCTTCTTGCAAAGCTGCATCGCAGCTCGTGGCATACACATCTTCGGTCATGCATTATGTGTAAGTCAAGGCCGACATGTTGTTATGCTGCTGCTGCTGCTTCCACTAGAACGGGCTCCGTTCCAATTCCCAGTCATGCATTCTGGTTCGCGAGATCTTTCACGGCATGAAATATGCACGAGCTTACGTGTTTGGCATCTTCGCACACACGCCATTACTCACCGCAACATGCTTCATCCGGCGCGCAAGAGTAAGAAGGGAGTGTGATCTCAGAACGTGCATGTCAGAGATTGTCACGGGCAGGTCACTCGCCCCTCACATCTCCTCACTAATCATGCTGGTCTCTGACGGTCTCACATCAGGGACAACCCCGCAAGTGGCACAGGGCAGACAAGCTGCTCCAACTTTTCGATAGCCTGCATCTCCTGTGCGGATTGCTGGTGGCATGGGTGATCTTCAGTATTTTGGAGACATCCTAATTGTCCTAATTTAATTCTTTGACCTGTGTTGATCGGAATTCCTCCGCAGAGAGCTCGAAGCCCAAAATGTCGAGATTCTCTTTCAATCTGTCGTTGCTCCTCTGCAGTGCACAAGTCTGTGTCAGCCATTGGTGGTATCGCGACGTGTCCAATACTACAACATATTCGGGTGGCCCAAACACGGCGCACCATGCAGTCCAAGTGGCTGACTCTTTGGCACTACTGAGCATCCACGCTGCACTTGAAAACGTAATGCTACCTGTCCTCAGCTGCATATTCAGTGGGCTCAAAAGGCGCTGGCGGTAGCTCTGTATCGACATCGCACTCGAAGCGCTTAGCACCTGGCCGACAGTCTTCCCATGTGCAGTCGCAATGGACTGCAGAGTTGGCTCCAGAAAACAATCTTCGTCGGCAGTGGCCAAGCCGATGTTCATGTAAGACTTCCTGTCTGGTACAAGATTTGATTCAGTATATATGTCTTCACCCAGGCTCCCCGACATCCACATGATGAAGCATGGACCAAGTTCTGTTTGCAAATGCTCCATGCCTATACAGTGAACAACAACGCCCACGACATGCCACAACTAACACGGAATGCAGCGACGAACTGGTTTTCACAGCTATCCAAGGCGGCTCGATGTCGAGACATGCAAAGCCGAAGCCCAAGCGCCCTGAACACTGGCTTTATGCGTTCCTGAACACTAGGCTCGTGCGGCGCGTTGGGACGCAGAATCACGGAAAACAACGCGGAAAAGCTCCAAAACAATCAGGCCAGGGGTGTTGGGGGGCTTTGAGCTTACGGTTTCGGATTTTGGGGTTTGGGGTTCGGCTGCGGGTTTGGGGATTTGAGGTTGGGGTTGGTGTGGGTTTAGAGCTGAGAACTTAACGTTTGGATTTGGGGCCTAGGGTCTTAGGGTTCAATGGCGGGGTTTGCGGTGGGAGCTTCAAATTACTCACAGGCGAAACTCAAGCGCGGAAACGTCTCACATCCAACACTCAAGTGTGGCTCTGTTTAAGCTTCAGCCTCATCATCGAACGCTTGTCTTGCTTCTCATCTCTTCAAGTTCGAGTTCTCAGAGTTTCTGAATTTTTAATCCTGCAGAACTGGAAGCAAAGTTTTGTCTGAGTACTCAATGCTTGTTTCTGGGTTGCAGATTTGGCAAACACACTGAATATCACGTTGCACCAAACTGCGCTAGGTAACATGGAGTTCTTGTTCGATCTGCTCGAATCGTCAACTTTCCTACGTTCTCGGTGCACTGTGCTTCAAGTACCAGTACTTTTGTTGTATGGGGTTTAGCTGTCGACATGATGTCTCACTCGGCCCTTGTGCATGTTCCCACCAGCATCATATTACGCCTGACTGAAGGCGGCTACCAGCCAAACACCGCCAGTTTGCCGTGCATTGACTGCGGCCCAGCGACGCTCCGAGCGGCGAGAACGCTGTCACTCCTATCCCGTGCGCCTGGAGCTGGGATGATTTCGGGGGCATCTTGGATTAGGACCATGACCTGGTTCCTGCAAGTTCACGAAGCGATGACCATATCCCTGCGTGTTTTTGCTGCAAGGGACCCTGCCGGCTTTGCTGAAACGCGTCGCAATGAAGCTCATTAGAATGCCCTTCTTTACACGAGCGGCAAAAACCTCCAACCACTGTGTCCCACCATGCGAATTCGGCAAGATTCAGCATTCCCCGCCTTGCAGAACTCAACAAGCCCTGGCTGCTGCAGGTAGACGTGGCTCTCAATCTGGTTGACAACTGGCCAGGGAAGTGGCTGCGGACGGCAGGGCACCTTGTTTCTCGGAGTTCATAGGTTTGTTTGTGCATTGCATGGCGTGCTACAGAGTCCTTGCACTTGTCAACCGGCTTTGATCAGTGCGAGCACACGACTTGCATACTGGTGCCTTTTGTTGCATTTACTGTGGTTTCGGGAATGTCGAACGATACTGTAAATAGCAATACGGCAGAGTGGTGCCATGTCTCTGTTGTTGCTGCTGCTGCTTGCTGCTCAAAAATCAGGATAAATCAAGTGCCTTCAGCGTTGAGGAGGTGCACGTCAGCCGTTCAAACTTCGCATACACTTGCCGCACAAACGGCGGCGCTTCAGTGGCAGCTGTGTTTCGAATTGATGAGCTCAAACCGTTGATGGTCTATAGTGGCCGGTCGGAACCTGCTCGAGTCACAACACAGACTGTGCAGTTTTCTCTTCGTCTGGTCCGATCTACTATCACCCAAAGCGTGACATGCAATCGCTTCAGCCTGAATCCCAACAGTTGAGTCATAAAGTGGCAAGCCACCTGAACAAAAAACACATGTGTCGGTGTTGCCTCATGCTGATGCACTACAATTGTGACCGGTACACCGTAGATCCCTGCCATGCGCTGTTTTTTTGCAACTGCTTTCGCTTCGGTGGCGAGTTCTGCGATTCTGACTCTCTGTGGAGTCTGATCGGGTTCATCGAAAGTTTCGATCGTATTTCATGCAGAAATGTTCTTTCGATGTTAGGAAGACCGACCGTTTCCCAGCGGTGGTGGTCGCGTCCTCCCATCGCAGGCTAATGCCAACGAGACCTTACCGGTCTCTCCCTCGGAGGGCTTGATGTATTTTATCGATGCCAGGTACATCCTGGCAGCAAGTATTGGCTGCAAAATTTGTCCCCTGTAATCTTCATGGCCCTACTCGTGATGGTCGAGAGAAGTAACTCGATTCCCATCCACTGTCGAGCCTCGGCGAAATCTTCGATTCGACTGAGTGCGCGGGTCGGTGTGCAAGTCGGCGGCGAATGTGCCACGTTCAATGTGCGGCGATAAGACAATTAAGTGGTTGCTGTTTGCCCACCCCTTTGATGAGCGCATGTTTGGATGCCTCATTATCGCAGCACTGCAGGTAGAAACCGTCCGACCAAGGTTCGACCTTGGAAGTAGGCTGCTCGTCGAACATCACGTTGGTGGAAGCAAACGGCGGCCCATCCATTCTGGATGTTGTTAGTCTCGGTGGAATTCCAATTAGGCAGATCTTCATCGCCCGGGCCCAGATCTGTTATCCCTGTTTGAAGTATGCGTCGGTGTAGATGACGCTGTAGTTCTAGCCACCGGATTCCTGAGTATCGTCATCGGTCGACATTGTTGGACGATGTCTCGTTGTGCGAGTAATGAGGACAGTGTCGGCGGCCAGACTTGGAGCGGAAGGAACCTTGCCGCTGGCCCCTGGGTCTGGTAGCTGACACCCGCCATGCATTTCCTCGGAACTTCTCTGAAGACTAACAGAGTCGTTGTCGCAGGAGCTGGCCATGTCGTCATCACTTCCGATGTTCACATTCACACTGCTCTGACCCTCAGGACCGCGAGCAAATGGTCAGAGTCCGAGTCCACAGCAGAGGAAGCAGCAAGGCTGATGTCGTCATTCATGACCCCGTGTCGTCCCTACTCTGCTGCTCCGGCTTCCTGTCCTTGATTGGCGCAAGCTGCTGCGCAAGCCTGAGGATCGACTTTTACACTCTGACTGCGCGTG